TGAAAAACTTTCCCGATGAGTCATCATTAAACACAATTTCTTAAAGTGAACAAATTAAAATCAAGAATATAATCGAAAAATAACTTTAAAATATATTTCATTCCACTGCATTCCACCATCAGCTTATTTTCTTCGAATTTTCAATTAACTGTTTACCGTCTTTTAATTTCCAAATATAGAGTTAGGATTCCTAGAAGTAACGAATGACTGAGTCACTTCGTGACTTTGCAGTTTCCTTCATCTCTTTGCATAGCTTTTATTCGTAAAAATTTGTAATTGTTGAATAATTGTGAATAATAACGTCCGTACGATAATCAAGTAACATTTAAAATTAAATGTCAGATAAGCGTATATACGTATAAAAAAAGTTTAAAGAAAGATCTAGACGGGCGAAAGCGCAGAGAGAGGCGGCCAGGAAGAAGAACGGCGCAGAATATCCCTCAACGAGTTCGTATACATTTTAACAGGTGGCGGCACATCGTTTTTGTTGTTGAATAAATAATCGGCTACGACGTAAAAATCGTTGAGATACGCTGAGCCTTAATCATTGGCGTCGCGGTCGGTCCACGCGCGATGGGATATTACAATGTATTACAATAACCGCTAGTAACTAGTGCACTTGATTGTATCTTACATGATCGCCGCATTTAATTCTTCCAGTCTCTCTATTTTTTTTCTCATTTTAAGATAGCATACTCATGATAAAATAGTATTAAAATTTATTAAATTAAGCACTTAATCTAATTGCAGCACTTAATGTAATTAATTTAATAGCAGAATAATTTTTAACGGTTAGATAGTTATACTATATATTGTGTGATAATAAATTTGTAGTAAGTGTTCAAGGAGACGGGAATTTTTTTATATTGTTTAGCATAACATCGTTTCATATTTTGAAAAAAAGCATTATAAAAAATAAAAGGTCATGAGATATACATAAAACGATAATATTTCTTTAATGAAACTATAATAAATAAATATTTTTCTGGTCAAGAGTATACATATATTTGGCTGCTTTGTATGATAAACAATTTCACAGTGTCTCTATAATATTATATAACTTCAGTAATATATGAGACTAAAAAAAATTTTATCATTTCATTAAAGTATAATCTAAATAAACTATGACGCATAAATATCCAGCAATATTATTGCTTGATGCTCTGAAAAAACTTATCGACAACTTTCCAACCGAGACGATGCCATAAAATGCTTTCTTAACCAAAAATTCTTCAATTTCTTACCTGTAGTTTAGGGATTTCTTACCTGTAGTTTAGGGATGCAAACAATGCAGATGATGCAGGTCATAAAGCAATAAATCAGGATTACAAACCAAGGGTTACAAAGCAATAAGTGTTCTGAAGCGATAACTTTCTCCACCTTTTTTCTCCTCCGTCCGTTAAAAAGAATAGCTTACAAGGTTATTTCAGAGGATTAAAGCATGTTTTCAAATATCAATCACCATATGACAAACAAATAATGATAAAAGGGAAAAAATTTCTTTTGACCAAGAAAGAATATTTTTGCCATTGAAAGTATTCAAACTTATTTGACGATCAAATCAATCTTCGACGAAAATTCGGGTTATTCATACTCAGGTAATTAAATCGTAAATGTCAACGAAATATATTGCTTGATAGAAAAGAACAACAGCATGAAAAATGAGCTGAAATAGCAGGATTTCAAACGATATTTGTTTGACCAATATTTATCTTTATAGAAATATTGACGAAGATTCTTCATAAGTAAACAGTAAGGCAATTATAGGTAAGGTAGCTAGCAAAGACTGAAAAATACAAAAAGAAGAAAGTTACAAGAATTGCAAAGCTGCTTTTTCTGTTGACACACAGTTATTGTATTTAAAAGTGATACTAAGAAATTCTAAAAGATATGTTTCAAATCGTAATCTTAATTCACGTAGATATTATCAATTATATTTGGCTCTTGGCCTTTTATTTGTCATTTATTGTTTTAATACTAAGAAATTTGGTAGCGATTTAGAATCTGGATCAAAAATATACTAATTTCAATAAAAAATATGGTAATTATATAATTGTACAGATTAGGGGATAACATATGTCAAGATCAAGGTCATCGGCGTGATATCCTCTAATCTGTATGATTACCAAAAGTATATATTTTTAAAAAATAATTAAGAAAAATGGAAAAATTTATCCTTTGTAAACACCTGACATCCGATTTTTAAAAAATTAAAATTTTTATACACAAAATGATAGTGTTTCGTTTGTAGTTGTTTGTAGCAACAATAATTTCGTTTGTAGTTACTTATAATAAAAAATATAAAAATTTATAAAAATGATACCCAACTTCAACATAAAAAATTTTGTTAATATGTTTCGATTCAGAATCGTTCGTAGTTGTTTGTAGTAATTTTCCTTTCGTTTATAGTTGCATCGTTCAAAAGTTATGATAAATTAACAATAAACAACAAGTTTAATTTTGTCAATTTCCAAGATATTCGAAATCTGTTTACGGTACACTCTTTAGAATTGTAGATTTCGAATATCTTGAAAATTGACGAAGTTACATTTTTTGTTTATTGTTAATTTATCATAACTTTACAAGTACAAACGAAAGGAAAATCACTACAAACTGCAAACGATTCTGAATCGAAATATATTAACAATATTTTTTTATGTTAAAGTTGGGTAACAGTCATTTTTTTAAACCTTAATATTTTTTAATTTAATATAAGTAACTACAAACGACTATCATTTTGTGCATAAAAATTTTAATTTTTTAAAAGTCGAGTGCCAGGTTCACAAAAGTAAAAGTTTATTATAAAATTCTAAAATATAAATATTAAGCTAATTGATGAAGTATTTTATACGTTAGAATATTCTTCATTTTTACATGGAAAATTTAAATTACAGTCCAATTTCAGTTATTCGATCTGTTAGTTTCTTGAAATTCTCAAAAATGTTTTAACTTAAAATGAGATAAACGTATATTTGAGGGTCGAAAAAGAAGAAAACGAAAACGCTGAGTGCAAAAATGCAAGTAACACAATAGATCTATTATTTCTAGAGATACCCGATGTTTGGCGAAAGAACGAGAAAGTTTCAGTGCATTCTACTACAGCAATAAAAAATAAACTTCAGAATTGTTTCGAACGATTTCGGACTGGTTCTTCTACAATTCTCATCGTCGAAAAGCCGACTGGATTTTTTGATTTTTGCATGCCAGATCTACCGAACCGCGAAAGAATGATTTCTAGCGACGCGACAGCGTTTTTGATGGATCAGACCTTAATTTCTAAATTGGCCGTCTGATTATGTTTACATATTACTGTAGGGTTAAAAATAGAGAGAGCCTATTTATCTAGGCAAGAGGCCGCGCGCGCGCATTCTCGGAGGCGATCTCGACGCGTCATCGAGAGAACGGCGAGAGTTTTTTTCCTTTCTTCGTCCTTTTCTTTTTCAGACGATTTTCAAGCGAGAGGCCGACCGAAGCTAGCCGGTACAAAAAACTACGCTTGTCGCAAGTTTTAATTTTATGCCGCGCGCTGACATCGACGGGGCGCTGCTATATTCGTTCAAAACGTCTACAAACGATACTTGATATTTTCCTCGATTACCCTACACGGCTCTACTATCAAAGTACAAAACGGTAACGGCACCGGCGGCGCGTGTCAAACGATTGCGTAACATTGTATTCGGACAATGTCAGTGGTCATGAGATTTGTTTTTTAAAGCTGAATCTATAGTGTTATTCTCTTTGCACTTGGAAACTCCGCTTCGCAATTCACGGTTAACTCTTAGGCCGGAATCAGACTATGTGCATTGAAAATTGAGATTGAAGATTGAAAGATTGAATTTTGGTTAACCAGAATAATAGGAGCTAAAATTTCTTTATCCTCATTGGTCAAATTTCAATTTTCAATCTTCAATCTCGATTTTCACAATGCGTAGTTTGAACTGAGGTTCAACTTATTTCTCCTTTCTTTCCAATTCTAGAATCAAAAAGAGATGAAGAATAAGTTGAACCTCGGTTAAAGTAAAACAGGTATAGAATGTTTATTTGTGACTTTGGCAAAAGCGGGGAGAAACTCGGACGACACGCATGTCCAAAAACGCGACAGAAAATCTCTTAAAACACACATTCAAAAAAACGTCCATTTCCACTGTAGATAACTTTAATCTCTCGGTTTAATTTACTTTTTATCTTCGCCGATTCTCAGAATTAGAACAAGATAAAAAAAATATGTTAAACCGAGATTAACTTATATTGATATAGGATATGGATATTAAAGACACTTTCACAAAAGGAAACATTATTGAAAAATGTCGTCTGTTCCTTTTCGCAGAATTCTGAATTGGTTCTAAAATAGTGCAATAAATTAGAGTGAAACAAAAACTATAGCTGTCTCACTCTAACTTTTTGCGCTGTGTGTCCTCCAGTTCAGAACTTGGGACGGAAGAAGGAACAGACCCTTAATCTTGATTCAACTAATTCATCTTTCTCTAGTTCTAAAGAACGAGAAAAAGATGAACAGTAAGTTGAAACGAGATTAAAGTTAAAAAAAAAAAAAAAATTCACACATTATATAGTTAGAGAAACAGACACGTAAAAAAGATATCGTAAAGACGTCGTACGTCCCGCTTTCAGACTCTGCGTTGTCTGGGAAAGTTCTAAAAGCAACGTCCAGTTCTACAGTGCAACAATAAAACGCGAACCCTATTGAGAAACCGGTTCAAATCTAGCCCGACATCGGGACGACGAAGCCCCGGGTATAAACGATATTCGCGATCGTGTGAAATGCAACAAAACGCAACGTGACGCGAGAAGCCGACAGAGAATTTCGGCGAGTTCGCGAGTCACGCTTCGAGCGCTCGCCAGCGTTCGCGCGACGGTGAACGGATATATCGCTCGCGCGTGTGCTCGCCACAATTCGGCGAGATCTCGCGGATCTCGATCTGCGGACTTTGACGTATCCGCGGCGCTCGCAAGGTGACTCGGAATAAAGCAATTGGACGTACCAAATATCAACTCGTGGGTGACCGTCTGCTCCGTGCTGCTCCGTGGCATGTCGAAGGCGGGTGGGGGTGGTGGCGGTGGAAGTAGCGGTTGCATGGCGTTCTCCATACCTTCTCGCTCCGTCCTTCCTTAGCTCGCTCACTCTCTCTCTCTCTCTCTCTCGCTTCGTTCCTGTCTCCTTCCTTCCTAGGTTGCGCACTTGTGTCACAAGTCACCGTAAACGTCGTTCCTGCGGGACGTCTCGCGATATCACCGGAGTCAATCGACGCGCATTTCGCGGCAACGCGCGATCCGCCTGTATCCGCGTCGAGAGGATTGTCGGGAACCGTCTCTCGCCCTCCGTCGCTCACGCACTCCGTGTGTATCGCTTACGCGCACACGTGTGTCCGTTCCGCGCGTGTACCCGCGAACGTACGTACGTAATAATTTCGTGTCCGTGTGGCTGTATGGGTGCGTGTGCGCGCGCGCGCGCACACAGAGTCGTGCGGAGTACGCGATAATACGCCGTAGAGCGCGAGAGCTTTTGCGCGTGCAGAAGGTGCAGCTGTGATCGTGCACCGGCACGACTCGCCTCGTCCGGCACGGGGACCGCCCCGCGGAAAATCAACGCTTAGCGCCGTCGCTGCCCGCGCGCTGTTCCTTCTTACATGATCACCTTCCGCGAGACCGTCCGATTCGCCGCGCCCGAATCGTGCGGACGGAACCGGAATCCGCAGTCCCGCACTACCGTGTCGCCGTACACGTTTTCGCTACTACGCGCTTCACGCCTCTCGCGCAGCCGCCGAGCGCCTCCGCTTATTGGCCGCTCGCCCGCTGACCACTCAGATGTCTCAGGTCCGTATGTACTTGTTCGGTTCCGCGGAACTTTGTGCTTCTAAGCCGAAGTCTTTTCCTCCTGCTAGGTCGCATTCGTGAGCAGCATTACCTAGGTATCTTCGAGTATCATCGTATCCTTTTCAATTGTTGTTCATCAGATGTTAAATAAGGATAAAATAACTCAGGGGCACTCAACCGAGTGCCACTCAGTTCTATTGTAGAACTTTTTCCGACTCACCGTCTGGCTGACGATAAATTCGATGTCTGGCACGCAGAAATCGTCTTCTGGCTTTTGATCGAGACATTTATACGTTGCATATAAAAGCGTCCAATAAAATGCACGTCTGTTACGAAATTGTACTGTTATTGTTTCGACATTTACTTGACTTATATATATGACGGTCAACACGTGTTTGTGCTGTAATTAAACGAGAATAGGTAAATTGATTGAAATGGATTTAGATTTTCGGAAGTTCGCAAACGTTGAAACGAACCCTTTTCAATCCCAATGCATTTTTATTTATTCATAAGAATTACACGGTAACAGCTTTTTTTAAGTACATCGTACTCATGAATACTGCTCAATTAAAAAATCTGAATAGAAAATGCAGTTTTCCAAACCAGTTGAATCTAGGTTGAGTCCAATAGAATCCAATTGAACGAAAAAAATGTTTTTTATTTAAAAAACGCGTTTGAATAGATAACATTTCAATTCATTCTCGTTTACTGAATATACACATCTAATTGGCGAACGTAACATCCAATTGAATCGAAAAGAGAAATTGATTGCATAAAAATTCAAAACAAATTTACTATTTACTTATATAGGTTTTAATAGTTTATATAGTTTTAACTAATTAGAATAATAGAATTATTATAAATGTATTTATTTACTTGTTTTTGTAATTTTTACTAAGTTTTATGATACACAATCGAATCCCTGAGCTAGAGTTAACAAAGTGTGAGGAATTCATTTCAAGCGTCGCTGTGATACATATTTTATGTAATGGCTGGTATAATATACCATAGACAACCATGTTCTCAGCCAATCGCTTTGTGTATATAATAAATATTTAATTTATCAGAATCGATAAAATAAAAGATATAAAAGAGATAAAACAATAGTTAGACACACAATAAATTATTGAACATAATACTTTGTCAAGCAGAATTTAATTGTATTTTTGAAAGTTATATTGTTTAATCGATCGTCATTCACGCCAAATGCTTGACACGGTCCTGTTCTCTCTCTCTCTCTCTCTCTCTCTCGGATTTCGTACGCAACTTCTTATCTCTCTCACTGCTTTGTTTATCTTATACGAAGTAATTCCAAAGTGTCGAACGCAGCTTCTGATATTATTTATTTTAAGCTGTAAAAAGTCTGTATTTATATAATACAATTGGAATATGTCTTCTGCGATTCTGGAGGAGTACATTGTATGTACTTACTGCGTTCTCGTTAATTCTATGTATCGATTTTTCCTTATTGATAATCAAGGTCAGCACGGCGCACGTTGCATCACCTTGTGATCGTAAAACGAGAGAGAAAATGAGAAAATGCACTGTCAGATTGGTACACAATAAGTCAAAGGATTAATTCATTAATAATTACATATAAAAATAAGGAATAGGAAATGTAAAAATCAATAAACAAGCTGACGTATAGTTACTTATTTGTCGTCATTTTGACGTCAAAATGATGCCTTTAACGTCATTTGACGTTAAAACGACGGCAAATGACGTTAGCTTGTTTGTTGGAAAAATGTATTTCTCTTTTTTTAATAAGATTATAAAATTATTCTGCCTAAATAAATTTTCTCGCAGAAGTTTTATACCGAGAAATACAAAAAAAATCCCTTATTTTATACTACGTTAAGTAAAGAAAAATCTATTTTTACTAATTAAATAAAAAATTTATATTTATGAAAAACTTTTTAATTTATTACATAGTTTTTTTCTATTCTTTTTTACAATCTTCACATTATCGATTTTTCGCTGGACAAAATTATGTAATATTATGTAAATGGAGCAAGAGAGTATAAAGAGGTATTAGAAATTTCTGAGAAAATCTAATTCTCTCTTTCAATTACATTCTCAGTCGCCGTATTTGACAAATGTAGGAGAAACGCGTTTAAAATGTAAACGAAACGCTCTTAAATAATTTTCAGTTCTCAACGAACCGAGACAATTAATAACTGTCGTCAGAATTAATGAACTCGGTTTATGACACAGCTAATATCTGCAATCAGAAAACTAAAAGTTTATGTTCGAAATTTAACACGGATGATACAAACAACAATGCCAAATTCGAATATCCATTATACTTGCGCTATATTAGGTACTCGATCTTTGGTCAGTTGATTACCGAATCCTGAAATAGGTAACAGAAAAAGAAGTGAGGAAACGAGCGTCATTAAGAGACGAGATCTGGAACAGGATAGAATCTTGTCACTCGGACTTGCTTTCTCGTTTCGCCAATTGACAAATATAAATTTTTCCATATTCAGGCTACATTCCAAAACGTCCTCTTCGAGAAAATTTTCTCGAAATATACATATAGTAATATATACTATATATCATATCGAGTAAAATTTTCCTTGGAGAGAACGTTTTGAAATATAGCCTATATAGATGTATATATATTGCAATCATTATTATTAATCTTGTTTCTCAAAAAAATACTTTTGATCGAATCTGTCCTGCAGCTCGTAAAACATTTACTATATTCTATATTTCTTCTAAAGAAAAATTCATCGTTTCTTCTGCTGTAAACGCATGAAAAGTTGCTTGTTCCTTCAAGTATAAATCTCCTTTAAAAGATAAATAAAATATTGAAAGTAAACGAGGATCGAGGCGTGCAAATCCTCTCTCTATTGACCAGCAATTTCATGACAAAGCCACGATAAATATTTGGCAATAATGTTGAACGTCGACCGTAATTCAAAGTAATACACGAATATAATATTGCTTGTTTTTTAACCTCTCGCTTGACTACGTTCAATAGAAAAAAACGACTTCGCACTGTTGTAATATTCTTTACAATACAATTAATTATCCATTAAAATAACAAAATATGGCTTTAAAAGATTAAAAAGAAATTTTTTGTGAATCCAAAATTGAAAACTGTTAATCATAGATTCTCTCAAAAAAGGAAATATTTCTGTAGATACGTAGAAAGGTATAGGACTTTTGAAATATTTATGACCGTAGTAAAGATTTTAGAAAGTATATAGTACACATGTCGTATGTATCCAATATAATTTAAGTATATGTTTTCATAAAAAAATGTTGGAAAAATAGAAAATAAAGTGTGATCCAGTGTTATTTTTATAAGATTACAATTTTATTATTAACATATTAATATGTTTATTGATATGTAAGAATAATACAAAAAACTATTTTTCAAACAATCGCTTATTTACTATTGCGTATCTTTACGATATTTATGAATTAGAATTCATATATTATAGTTTGGAGAGAATAACAGACGTATTAAAGAAACACATTACAATCGATGTGGCTATATTCAATATATCTAGGTTAGCTATATTGTTTCTACCTTACAAAGAGTTTTTCTTCTTTTGTTAAAAACAAAACGTTCTGATGAAAATATAAATTAAATACATTGTTATAAAAGTATAAATACAGAGCTATATATAATAATATATAAAATATAGAAATTAATAAATGTCTCTCGGTAGTTATATAAACAGAAATAACTTATCTATGAAAAATTACATCATGACTATGTTCTATATTTTGCTTTACTGATAATAACGGAATGAACAACTCTGAGCAATATATATTAATGCAATTTTGAATCAGACGGACAGCCTGCATGTCTTACTAATGTTGTCTTGTTGAATTCATCGTGTAATTAGCTACAGGTTTCTCACTGTACCTACAAACAATGAATATTAAATATGCTAGGTGATATACGGTTTGATTACCTTACATTTAGATCTGTGCAGAGGAATTAAAGGCATAAACCAATTACATTAAAGAATCTTACAACAATTGCAAAACTGCTATTTTTGTTGAATACAATCGATAAAATCATAATTTACGAGCTATGCAATCATCAGATCATACTTAGATAGAACAGAAAATCATGGTAAAATCAAGTTATGGCATCAAATGCAATTTGTGACACATAATTAGTATGAATATCCGTATATCTATACACATATGTGATTTTTTAACTAAGAGAATTACTTAATCAATTATCATTATGTGTCAAAAATTCATTATCAAAAATTATTGTCAAAAGTATATAATTGAATAACATAATCATTATAATTTTTCCTAACATGGCTTCTACTTAATATTATTTAAAAAAAAACATCCCCACTCCTTTCCTTTCTCCGCCGCATAGCTCACGTCTGAATTAAAACTGTGCGTACACATTCGATGTTTTTGAGATGATGATAGTAAATGTCTCCGACTGCATTTAACAGAAAAAATAATTCTACAACTATTCTAAGATTTTGTAATTGACCAGTTTATATACATT